ATAGAGCTCCACTGGTGGCCGGCGGTAATGGTTGTCGGAGACGAGTCCTTTGGCGCAAACGAGGTCGTCGAACGAGGTGCAGTCACCGGTAATCGTTGGAGGAATGAAAGGAGACAGGACGAACAGGAAAGAGACGCAGTAGGGGTTATCTGCGACAACCTTTAGCGGCGACGTGTATTAGCGACGACACTAGGGTTTTAGCGGCGACAATAGGGTATTAGCGGCGACAACCCTGGAGGGAAAAAACAGCGCCCTTTTTTCTCATTTCCCACCGTTGGATGAAAAACAGATCGAACGGATGAGGTTCATTTGACTCGGATCGACACTGTAGCAGCATTAGCGGCGACATATAACGCGTCAATTACATGTCGCTGCTAATAGTTGTTGTCGCCACTAAAGGCGTCGCCGCTAATGCCCGACTTTCTTGTAGTGAGGGACCATTTATGTAACGTCATCTATTTTTTTTATTATTTTTATTTAATTTATTTATATTACTATGATTTAGATTTTTTTGACAATTATTTAATGTTTTTTTATATTTTTGCTTACTCTTTTTGATACTTTGTTCGTATAATTTTTTCTAATTTTTTGATATTTTTTTTTTCGAATACGTTTATTAATATTTATTTTGACTTATTGTTTGAAAATTTTCTTCTAAATTTTTTTAACTTTTTGGTCAAATATAGCTTTTTATGTTTTTTTCTACATTTTGTTTGTTTGTATTTATTAAAGATTTTGTGGTCACTATAATCAAAATTCTTAAGTTAAGTCACTTATAGTCATATTTTTCTTTTTTTCTTGTTCTCTTAATATAGATAAGGCTTTATAAGTATTATTTTATAATTCGAATATATAACTATATAACACATATAAGGTTGTATGGTTATTATTTTTGTAAAGCTTTTTATAAAAAATTTTAATAAAAAATGTAAAAAAAAAAATTAACGTGAATATGATTGATATATAAATTAGGTACACATAGACTAACTTAAAACTGTCTGGTAGTCTTGATGAGAGCCACCATTTCATTTCATATTGGACTTAACTTTTGTATTTTTGAGTTATTTAACTCTTTTAGACATTTTTTTTCGGTTAGCCTATATGTTCCAATTAGCCTATCTATATTAACCATATTCATATTTAACAATATCTTTTAAATATATTTTAAAATTTTTTATAAAAAGCTTTACAAAAATAATAATTATAAAACTTTATATGTGTTATATAGTTATATATTTGAATTAAAAAAACAATATTATATATATATATATATATATATATAACGAAAAATAGACAAATATGATTGTAAGTGAATTAAGTTAGGTTTTATGAGTATAGTGACCATGAAATCTTTAACAAATATAAAAACAAAATGTAAAAAAAAATCATTAAAAAAATATGTTTGAACAAAATGTCCAAAAAATAGAAGAAGTTATTCAAGCAAAAAGTCAAAAGAAATATTAATAAATGTATTCGAATAAAACGACAAAAAATAGAAAAAGTTATACGAACAAAATATTAAAAAATTCAAGCGAAAAAATTTAAAAAAAAAATCAAGAATATATTCAAACAAAACGTCAAAAAAATTCTAAATCATAGAAATATAAATAAATTATATAAAAATAATAATAAATAGACAAAGTTACATAAATGATCCCTGTGGCTGGAACAAATTACATAAATGGTCCTTATGGCATGAAGAGCAAATGAGTCATTTAATAAGAGACTTTACTTAAAAATTAACACTGTTAGCCAAAAAGACAGTCTTTGCAAGATTGTTAGCCAAAAAGACAGTCTTTGCAAGATTTTAAAACCATAGGGACCATCTACATACAAAATTTGTCATAATGACCAAAGTTGGTCAATGGTGTCAACCATAAGGACCATTTATGTAATTTTGTCTAAATATAATCAAGCTAAAACCATTGCCTACCATTAATTAGATCTACAAATGAACCATTAAAGTCTAAAATTAATCAAGCTTAAACCATTGCCTACCATTAATTAGATCTACAAATGAACCATTAAAACATATTATTAAGGAATTATAGATTAGACGAGGAACACTTATATTGAAGGTATGTTTGTTTGATAGGAATGGAATAAAATTTGAAGGGAAATGATTCCAATTTCCTTAAATTCCTATGTTTGGTTCAGCTTCAAGAGAAGGAAAAACATTAATGCTAAATGCAATATTTTCCGTTTAAATGAAGGAAAGTTCATTCTTTCACCATCTAAATGGAATTAATTCATTAATAACATGGAAAGCAACAAATTACAATTTCGCCCTGGCTAAACATTACCGTACCCTTCATTAGTTAACCTAGATCGTTGATTTCATTCTTGTTGAGCCAACATCTATCATCTTCGCGTCTTCTACACTTCGTCACAGGGGTCGTCCGACGACCTTCATTCCAGGTGATCTCTCTCTCTCTATCTCACTTTCTCTTTACATTCGAACCAAAACCATCCCCTGTGAAGCAACGGTTAATCGATTTAAGATTTCAAGATAATCAATTTCTGAATTCAAGCCAGTCGATTTCTTAACATTCTTTTTTGATTTTTTGAATTCGTCTACAACAACCGTTAGTGAAGTTAATCAAGTTCTTTTATGATTTTCTGATTTTCTAAATTCTCCTTCTTTTCACGATTTTAGAAAAATCGAAACTCTGTTCTTTCCCTTCTTGTTTTGATTTGATATAAACTGGGAAGTTAATCAAATTATTTGATTTAATTTTGGAATCTGACATAGAGACTAGAATTGAGAGTTACAGTCACTGATTGTGACTCCTTGTATGTTCTAGTGTTTTTGAAATTTTTTTATGAAGCTGTGAAATCGCTATTATGAGATATCGAACAAAGAAAACATGTTTTGGTTTCTTGCTAAATCGATATAACAGAAAACTTAGTGTGGTTTCATTTTTGCTGTTTTGCTATCAATATATGTCATTTTGCTATTTTGCTATCAATGGTATGAGAAATCAGAATATGTATACTGTTTTTCTGTTTTACAGGAAAATGTCCCAACTTAATTTAACAACATGCATCCGTAGACAAGAAGTGAACCCATTAATGTTAATTTTTTTTTGGGAAATTGAAGAAGGTGAGAGAGAGGCTTAGGTAAAATACATTTTGCAAGGATAGTATTATCAATCGGGATGATCATTGGATGTTGATCGGTATTTTGGATTTGTAAGTTTTTGGTGCCTTTGATTTAGATGTAACGAATGATATTACGTTATTTTTATTTTTATTATTATTATTTTTGTTAACAATATTAAGATATATAGCGAAGAAGGTGATAGTTTTTAAGTTATGTTTTTTTGGTAACATTATTGGGACGTATATTTAAAGGCTTTTAAGTTATGAAGTCATTTGCATGATTTTCGCATTATATTGACAAAAACACTCAATCAATGAAATTAAATTTTACTATTTTATAATTTAAATAATGTATCTTTACATTTATAAGTTAAAAAAAAAGTAAAATTAAGCAAAACAGACAAAAAAGACAATTTTAACATGGATTCCAATTCCAATTCCCATGAATCAAACAAAATCTAGAATTAATTCAAATTTAATTTTTTTTCATCAAACAAGATATAGAATTAGATTCAAATTCCTGATGGATTCCTTTTCTAATTCTATATGCAAGTCCTTCATCAATATTCTGCGAACCAAACAACATCTGAGGTGCTAATCCGACTGGTGCAATGTTGAGTATATGCGAATTTTTAGTGTTTACACAAACAATAACGGGAAAGAAATAAAATGATAAAGAGAATTAACGTGGTTCGGTCGATTTGAAATATGTCCACATGCAGTAAACATATCATTCTTTATTACTTGACTATTTATTTAAAAGTTTACATTGGAATTCTCACCTAAAAATATTTGTAATCGTAAACCCTAGAAATTGTTGGACTAAGTCTATATACAAGTAAATCAAGAATAACTAAACATATAAATACATCTATCCCTTCCGAATTGTCATTTCGAAAGTAAATCAAGAATAACTAAACATATAAATACATCTATCCCTTCCGAATTGTCATTTCGATTTCTTCACTTCCTTTGGGATAGATTAATTATTTGCCTAACCAAAATCCAGGTCACAATATAACGGTTAGTAAATAAGTTACCACCTCTGCTGATTCATACACACAGTATTTGATCATAGTGCAACAGTAGTCGGCTACAAAATTAAGAGTAGAACCCGATTATTGGTTCTTGAGGAAGGAAGAGCAATAAAGCTCAAATTATTCCTAGCTTCTAATAGCCACCTTCTAGAAAGGTAGGATCAATTGTATTGCCTTGATATTTTTGAGAGAAAACAATGATCGCATCCTTATATAGGCATGAATTAGGATTAATTTCCAGCATGAATGTCTCTAAGCCCTAGCTTTTGGACGCTAAGGAGGGAAGAGGAACTCCACGGGAGCCTCCTTTCCTAGTTCAGGGAGATTCTTTTGTGATATTCCTAAGATCATTCTAAAACTTCTTTTAACTCAATTAACTGTAAACTATTCCTAATTAAATTTCCAATTAATTCTTAATTGATTATTTTTAGTTCTTAATTTTAATTTATAATCTGAAAAAATTGTATTACTACAAACTATCTAAAACAATCGTAAAATTCTATAACAAACGGAATATCTTAAAATTGATTGTTTTTTATATATAGAAAATAAATTTTAAAACGTGAAGGAACTCTTTTATAATAAAACTGAAAACATGTTTAGTATTCATAAAATTACTCACGTTATATATAAAAGTTAAACTGTAACAAATTACACTACCATTTATCTATTACATTCACCCATGTGGTTTAGGAATATGCTTTTATGATAGTCAACTCTCTAAACTCCTCCATTTTCTATATATACCCACCAACCCCTTGAACTCATAAGCATACCTACAGCTTTATCTTCTTAGCTGGTTATCAGATATCCACCTTCTCTTCTATTCCCATTTCTTCATTCCCACATCATTGAGCAACAATGGCTGCCGTAGCCACTGTCCCAGAGCATGAAGAAATTATATCCATCCCCCCCACCACCACCACCACTAACACTCCGCCGCAGACCTTCGCTCTGCCTGTGGATTCAGAAAATAAAGCCACAAAGATGAAGGTCTTCTCATTAGCGCAACCCCACATGAGAGCTTTCCATCTCTCATGGCTCTCCTTCTGCACTTGTGTCATCTCCACGTTTGCTGCCGCCCCGCTTGTTCCCATCATCAGGGACAACCTCAACCTCACCCGCGCTGACATCTCAAATGCTGGAATCGCCTCAGTCTCCGGCAGCATCCTCTCACGCCTCGTTATGGGAGTGCTCTGCGACCTTGTTGGACCCAGATACGGTTGTGCTGTGATCAATATCCTGGCAGCTCCGGTGGTATTCAGCGTTTCCTTTGTGGCAGATGCTGGTGGTTATGTAGCGGTGAGGTTCATGATAGGGTTCTCGCTGGCGACATTTGTGTCTTGTCAGTATTGGACGAGTGTGATGTTCAATGGGAAGATTATTGGGGTTGTGAACGGGGTGTCTGCAGGGTGGGGTGATGTGGGAGGTGGGCTTACTCAGCTGCTGATGCCGGTGCTCTTCCATGTCATAACTCACATGCTCGGAGCCACGCCATTCACTGCGTGGAGGATTGCTTTCTTTATTCCGGCATGGTTTCATGTGATTGTTGGGGTTCTTGTTATGGTTTATGGCCAAGACTTGCCTGATGGCAACTTTGCTCAAATTCGAAAGAATGGACCAGTTTCAAAGGATAAATTTTCTAAGGTATATACTTGTATATAATACATATAAATTTGTATATATCAATATAACTTTTAAAGAAATGTTGACTAAACTTTTCTTTTAACCTACTGTAGGTATTCCGAAATGCAGCAACGAATTATAGGACATGGGTCTTTTTTTTGATCTATGGATATTCCATGGGCGTGCAGTTGTGCTTGAATAATGTCATCTCAGAATACTTCTATGATAGGTAACAAGATAATCTTGATTTTCCGTTACTTTTATGACTATGATCTCATCGTTAAATCTTTATGACAACATACTTAACGGCTTCCACATTTTAACGTGCAATAGGTTTGGTTTAAAGCTTCACACAGCTGGAATAGTGGCAGCTAGTTTCGGGGTGGCTAACTTTTTTACACGTCCATTCGGTGGCTACGCATCTGACTTATCGGCTCGTAAGTTTGGAATGAGGGGCAGATTATGGACATTGTGGATAACACAAACCCTAGGAGCCATTTTCTGTATATGGTTAGGCCGAGCTAATTCTCTACCCATGGCCATCTTGTCGATGATGTTGATGGCCGCTGGATCACAAGCCGCTTGTGGTGCAACTTACGGCATCATTCCATTTGTTTCCCGGCGGTCTCTCGGTATTCTATCTGGTTTGACCGGTGCCGGTGGAAATGTTGGCGGTGGTTTGACCCAACTGCTATTTTTCTCCGGTACAAGGTTTTCCACGGCGTGGGGGTTAACATGGATGGGTGTGATGTCGGTGGTTCTGACTATTCCGGTGGCTTTTATCCACTTCCCACAATGGGGGAGCATGTTTTTACCGGCGTCAAAGAATGAAAAATACAATGAAGAGTATTACTATAGCTCGGAGTACAGTGAGGAGGAGAGAGAGAAGGGTATGCACTTCGGAAGCATGAAGTTTGCAGAAAACAGCAGGGCCGAGCGTGGGAAGAGATCGGTGGTCGCCGTCACAGAAACCTCTCCGAACACCACGCCGATCCACGATGTCTAAAGCATGAATAAAGAAAGCTGGGGACTACGTAAAGAAGAAGTAAAGAATTTAAAATGGAGTGACAGTTGTGGTGAACACATCAGACCATGTGGTGTTCTAGGCGTCCGTACTGATGGCAACTTTTGCTTATTGTTTAATTATTCTGGTGATCTTCTTATTACTCAAGAGTCCTCCATAGGGCTGTACGACGGATCTCAAGTCATTCTATATTAAGAAAATAAAAAGTTTTACATTTTGTAAACTCTATATATTTCATTATCTAGGTTTATAAATACACATTTAGCGATATTTCCGTTCTTACTGAGTAATAGACCGACGTTCTTTTAATGAAATAAGACAATTTATTTAATTTTAGGTTCAGTTTATTTTGTTCCGAATGGCTATAATCATAAAGCAAACTGGACTTGAGAAGAGTAACTATGAACTTCGGTTATGAGCTACAACCGGTAATTGTATATTTTTGTAGAAAACATGTTACCATTTTGTGGTGATGATGAATGGGATGACTCTCTTTGTAGAGGAATTTACATTTAAACATTATCTTTCGTCCAGAATACAATGAATACAATGAGATCATTATATTATTATAGTCTAAAATAAAGAAAATATTTTTCCTATCACCATATGCATTTCTAACCTCTATGTCTTTTTAATTTTCAACTTTAAATAAATAATATATTAATTTAAAATATATTATAAAACGCAAAATATTATTTTATTATTGGTAGATTTTTAAAATGATTATTATAATATTTGTTAAATTAAAAATTATCTTAATTCCAAAACATAAATCAAAATAAAAATTAAACTTAAAAATTATGTTCAAATACGATTTTACATAATAGTTAAAATGGTTTAAATATTATAAATATAGAAAGACAATTCAAATTAAATAAAAAATATTACAACTATATTTTTTATTATAATTCAATTTTTCAAATAGGTGGTTTTTAATTAATTAACGTAAAAAATATATGTAACGCCCGCATATTCGGGCTAGTCAATTTAGAGACGATAAACGTCAAAAATGACTTTTTGATAGAGGATTATTTAGAATAAATAATCTTAACTAAGTTTTAGTATATGTCACAAGGTTTCCGTACATATAAAGAACGTCAAAATCCGAGTTATAACGAAGAAGTTATGACCTGTCGAAGTTTCACGACAAAATCGCACGACACCGGGAATCGTAAAAAGTGAGTTTATGATAGACTACTTTTTAGCCTTAGGGGTCTAAAAGAAAGTTGTAGAGTACGTCTCCACCTACGCGTGGATATAAAGAACGTCAAAAACGGAGCTCATATGCAAAAGTTATGTCCTTCCGAAGATGCAGCTGTCTAAGGGCATGACACGTGGCAGAAACCCTAGCCGCCTTAAGTCACGACGTGAACATGAAGTTCATGACGTGAAACGTGTCAAAGACACTAATCGAGGATAGAAAACACGCGTTAAAACTACGGGATGACTCATGGAGGTTCACGACGTGAACCTATCATGTTCACGGCGTGAATGGGCCTAGAACAACCTATAAATAGCGATCAAGACCCTTTCATTCCTTACACCTTCTACTTTCTTTCTCTCTCGTTTTCTGAAGCCGTTCCACGTCCCGAGCCCGACGATTACGAACCACCGACCGTTTCTAGTTAGATTCTATCAACTCATGCTAATAAGGTGAGTGCATATTATTTTCATCTTACACATAGATATGAAGTATTTTATATAAATTACGTGCTATGTGTGCATATTATCTGTATACTTGTTATCTATGTTAGATAAACATTATTATACATGTTTTAAATGATTTAAACTATATATGTATTTTATATCTACAAATATGTTGGGTAAAACGTGGGTAGATGAATTAGATGATGTGTGATTAAATAAAAATTGATGAGAGGTATCGATGATTAAGATTATCTAGTCATCTAGCAGAGTATAGACATAGTTATTTGTTATTAATCCGGGAGTATGGATTAGGTATTTTTGAACTATGTGTTCATCTGATAAGTATCATGTACAAAGTTCTTCTTTTTGACACTATTGTGTGTCGGGGTACGAGAGCGTACGGGAGTACTTTATTAGTATTTTCCCTATACTTTTTATTTTGAAGAGCTTTGGAGTCTTCGTTTCTTTTATGAAGTGATCGGACGAGCTTCATGTGTCAACGTTTCCGTTCACGATATTCAGACCACTGCTAGGCAAAGTTCGATGCTAGATAGGGTGAGTCTGGGGGTAAATTACCTCACGATATTCAGATCACTGCTAGGCAAAGTTCGATGCTGGATAGGGTGAGTCTGGGGGTAAAATACCTCACGATATTCAGACGATTGCTAGGCAAAGTTCGATGCTGGATAGGGTGAGTCTGGGGGTAAAATACCTCACGATATTCAGATCACTGCTAGGAAAAGTTCGATGCTGGATAGGGTGAGTCTGGGGGTAAAAAGCAGCTTCGTCAGTTTGTTGTTCATATCGATCCTTTAGGCTAGATCTTGTAAGATCATTGTATAGGATCAGTACGTGGGGATCGACGTTCGTTAGTGCTTGTAGTATAAACCTCGGGAAGCGATGAACTTCATGCCTATTCCTTAGGTCAATCCTTAGGAATGAAGGATAGATGATTCTTAGGGCAGATCTTTAAGATTAAAGAAGATAATGGGGATGGGTAATTGGGTTGATTGTTTGATGATTAATTATAATAATTATATTATTGTGGGTTGAAAACCCTATGTACTCACCAGGTTTCCCAACCTGACCCACTCAGTCTATTTGTATCACAGGTATCGATATGAAGCTACTTTACACTGAGAGATTAAAGGATATGTAGATCACTAGTGTAAATAAATGTAAGGTCTGTTTATGCTTATGTTTCCGTATTGACGATGACATCCCAAAGTTTTAATATGAATAAAATACATTTCTTCGGAAATGCTTTGATAATATATTTATCATGTTTTTCTGGGAACAAATTCCGCAACATATTTATTAAGAGGGTACTCTGATTTTTATAAAGCATAAACAAAATCGGTCTTTTCTGGCCGTGAAATTGGGGATGTCACAATATATTACATTAACTCACAAACAATGGTTTATACATAAATTAACCATCATCATTAAATATAAAAAGAAAATCAATAAATAAGTAATCTCTAAACTAATCAATCAAAAAGCTTAAATTATAATACTAAATCAAAAAAATTTGATGGTAGATGTTATTGAATGGTATAATTCAGATAAAGGGTTAGTGTTTTTATCCTTCGTTACTTTAATTCGAAAAATATGTTGTTATAATTAGTAAAACTTATATCTCAAGGTACATGTACACATAAAGATAATTTGTTTATTCTGTTGCACTAATCTAGTGTGTATTGTTGTATTAAATTCCAATAGTGATATGAGAACATATAGATTTTAATTATTTGCACTCTTCTGGTAAAGTTCGAAATATAGATAAAGCATATCAATTTAAAATATTATTTAAATAGGATTTAAATTTGAATATTTAATTTGAATGGAATTTTAAATATTATTTAGATTGAGAATTTAAATTACAATGTTTAAAACATATCTAAATTGATTTACTACTTAAATTGAAGATTATTTGAATAAGATTTAAGTTGAATATTTAATTAAAACTTTAAATATTTTTAATAGAGAATTAAGTTGAATATTTAAAAGACAAGTCAGAAATTTTAAAAGATTTAAATTTATAATTTAGTATGACTACTATATGTATAACATAAGTACAACATATGGTCTCACATGTTTAATTAAAACATTGTCAGTGAAACCTTGATTAAGCTCACCCGCTCTAATGTTATATGAGAGGTGTAAGGAGGTCTCTTCGAGTCCTCATGAGTTCGGTTTTTAAAAGCCCATGCTTACTACCTTATCCGTCTTTTTGCTTTTTCAAAGTGAAGTTACCGAAATGGTTTGATAGAATAGTGTTCCAGTTAAAGTATAAAATAAAGTAATAAAACAAAAGTTCCCCATATTATATATTTAAAAACACGAGTCATATGTTACCCATGAAAATGCACATTTTCTTTATACTATGTTGATGGAGTGTGTGTGGCTAACCGACACATCAAAGCAAATGTATTAGTTGGAAATGATGTGCCACATAAAAAATTATTTTGTTGATGGAGTGTGTTTGGTTAACCGGCACGTGAATCTGAGAATAATTTGTATTGAGGGACACATGGTTTTGCATGGTTGATTCACCATCTATTCTATGATTTGCAGTATCCCTGTCATAGTATTGAGATGAGCATAACCCACGATTAACATGTCATTGATCGTCACTAAATCTCGAAAGGTTAAAGAGTTTCGTATAGAATGAAACTGTCAAAGATTATTGCCTACCTAAATAACTTTATGGTGTGTGTATGAAATCCCTTTACACATCGTAATGTCAAATATGGATCGTATAATTGGAAAACAATTTATTTAGGGTTAAAATTACTTTAAGGATGAAATCAAACTAATTAAACTCTCATTTTCTAGATCTCCAACGAAAACACCACCTCACTCCAACTTTTCACTCCTTTTAGTTCTATTTAGGGAGAAACTCTCTAGTCCAAACTATTTGGATTGTCTTTGTACCTTAAGGATCACTTTGAGGTACGAGTGCAATGAGTATGTCCTCGACGATGATCTCCCAGAACTCAATGATGACTCCACTGAAGAGGATGTGGTTAGTTACAACAAGAATTACGATGAGTCGACTAAGGTTGCTTGCCTTATGTTGGCGACCATGTCTTCTGAACTCCAAAAGAGTTTCAAAAGCCTTGGGGCGTTCGACATAAACGGGCAACTCAGGGAAATGTTCCAAGAGAAATCCCGACAAGAGCGATTCGGGATTGTGAAATCCTTAATGGTAGTTATGATGGGTTTTGAGCATAACAACATCCTATGTGATCATGCAACCCTAATTGCTTTGGATCTAAGTTTTTCTCTAGTTATACATACAAATAGAAGTTCGAAAGCAACAACCCTAATTC